TCTCTCTCTCTCTCTCTCTCTCTCTCTTTCTGTGTGTGTGTGTGTGTGTGTGTGTTATGGTACAAGTAACTGGCCCAATTTTTCTCATCATTCTCTGCCATCGAACACTTTGTCCCATGTATCGGAAGCATCATCGTCGCCGAGCCGGTAGCATTCGTAAGACAACAAAGAAGAGAATGCGGTTGCCTACCCGGAGGGTTGTTGCGCACTGCAGCAGCCCGAGTCGCGTTGCAGTCGTTGGGGGGTGGGTGCGCAGAAGTCGCGAGGGTGGTGGTGGTGGTGGTCGACGATGGTGGTAAGGCTGCCAGCAGCTGGCGAACTCGTCCACCTCGGCCTTCCTGTTAGTGAGCTAGCTTCGCGTCATTTCGTTGGTTTGTTGTCAATCCGCTGCAGATTCGATTCCGAGTAGGATCGCGGATCGCGTGTCCTTTCCTCCCTCGACAGTCGTCGAGAACACAGACCACAGGCGGGCGCAGTGTCCGACGCATTGGTACACCGTCGATACACCGTCGTATCCGGCAGCGCGCCTCAACGATTCTCTATCAGAGTAATTTGATCGATTTTCTCATATTTTTCACTCGAACCGTCTTACCGTTAATTTGATAATAGACGTCTCGCGATACCTCGTAACGGCCTATCGCGGCTCTTTTACTGGACGACATTTACCCGGTGTTTGCGTTATTATTAAGACATTTTTCCGGTTCCATGAACTGTGTGATTTGCTCGATCTTCTATTCTTGAGACCTCCGACAAGACGCAGGTACTAGTTGAACCCGTTCACTGCCTGAATTGCAAGTCTGAGTTGCAATTTTCATACAATTTGTTTACTTCATTCTAGTATTTCCGTATGAAGATCGAACGGCTACCGAGTGAATGGCTGTAGCGAATGCGTTAATTGATCGCTTTGCATGTATCTCGTGCAGTGGATTGGTTCTTCAAGGCGCTCGTTTGTTTCTCGCGTTCGTTCGCCACGGTTTCCGAATACTTGCAAATCGATTCTATCGCCAATAAGGTGTTATCCGTTGATCCTCAACCGCAAAAGGATTGTCAATGAAGCTTGGAAACGTTCTTTCAAGTATTGATTCTAAACGAGATCATCCGATTGCACTACGAAAAATGCTTCGATTTAAAAGAACTGTGGAATATTCGGCGGTAATGTTTAATACAGAATCGAGCGTGAACGATGACTGCGTGGAGAGCGGTGCGAGCGATAATAATTCGTAATGACCGGTCCTCGGGCCGACGCGGGACGCGTGTGAAACGTGCGACGAAGGTGGGTCAGAGTCACCGCGTTGATTAGATAGGGTTGTTCGGTCAATGTAATTGACAGGTTCAAGAGACAAGTTCGTCGATGAGGCCTCGTGTGCCAGATTCTCGATCTCCGCTTTCATTTCGCGCAATCTTTTCAAGACCAGCCTCTCGCATCGGACTGAAACACTCTGCTCGATCTGATTGTCTCATCTGAAAGTCCCTCGATCAAGACTCGACAACGTCCCTCGTTTATCAAGCACTCTTCGCGATCGTTTGTTCAAACAGTTGAGGTGTTTGTTACAAGATAAAGAGAAAGCGTTTGTCCTAGTCTTGCAAGAGATTCGTTGCATCAAATGTTTCGCATACTTCTTATTTTTAGTAGACATTCCAGTGGGATTTCGTTCTGTATCACCAGTACGTGTCACCTGTTGCTCGAAATTGCGTCAGAGAGATCAACAACCGAAACAATCGTCTTCATTTCCAGCCGTGTTTATCAATAGCGAGAGCTCGTTTCTTTCGGTGTCTCTTAGTCTTCTTCGTACGTACAGCCAAAAGGCTTATTGCTGTCGAGCGGACCATAAACGGTTCCCCTTTCGAGTTTTTCGGCACCTCGCGTTTCATCTTGCGCAATCTGCTCAAAAAACGCAACACTCGAGATCCTTCGGGTTGCAGACTGTTTATTCGCGATTCATTCGTCGCGCAATAGACGCCGATTTCGGCTCCGACTCGAAGGAAGGACAACCGGAGCGATGTCTTTGGCCTTTGTTTCTTATCTCCCGGCGACCTTGAATCGATCTGACCTTTGGAGACGGTTCTCGGGAGAAGTGAAACGAGCATCAGTCGGTTCGCGAGCCTCCGAGTCATTGGTTCGGGGGTTCCTACGCGAGTTTTCTTCGTTTCACGAGTCTCGGACACTTCGAATTCGTTCAACTTGCAATCTTCGGAAAGACAAGCGAGACGATACATCGGCAATTCCGCGGAGTTTCTGTGAACTTGGTTTCTTGATTTCTTCTACCTGTTCATCTTCCGGCTCGGAGTCCGGTGAATCCTGAAGAGATTCGATCTTGGGCCGAACAGTGTCTTCCAATTTGTGTCTATTTTCCTGAACAAGCCGTAAGCATTTCTATACTTTTCACTACGAAGGGAACGAATAACGACGACAGTAACCAACCAAGGAAACTTATTAAACTTATTAAATAACGAGATCTCCCAGCGTTTGTTCGCGTTGCTTTGCATTTTGCAATGTGAACAACGTTACAGGAAATGCGAGAACAGAGCGTAGAACGAGCAAAAACCGTGTTACTCGAGTCTTGACACTGAAACGAAGGATTATGCTAATAATGGAATCGTACAGCGGCATCATTAGCACGATCGTTTCCATGAATTAATTTTAAAAAACTTGCTTATACCTGCAAGGACAACCGCGCGATCGATATCTAAGTTGTATCTACCGTTTGGTCGCCTTGAGGCGAGTCGTTCGAAATTTGAACGCATCATCGGTCGGAGATTCCATCCTGCGTAAGACAGCTCTGAAGAAACCGACAGTCTAAATTCCCGATCAGTGAAATAAGTAAATGTCTGGTTATTTACGGGCAGGGGTGTATCTAGATGGAAAGATAGAGGGTAGAAATTCGAGGCGACCGAGATTTCCTTGGCTATCGATAGGCCATCGAGTGGCAAGTTTAATTCGGTTCGAACGCATTCTGGATCCTCTTGTTTCGTTAAAAACCTATTTCGTCTTGTCGAGCACAGGTACGACGAATCGTTCGACTCGCTTTAATCGATCTACCCTCCCCCCCCCATCCCCCGGTTGGCTTGTTAAAGCGACCGGAATTCCTGCAGGGCAATCTGTGTCTGCAAGCCGGCGGACTGACGTGTGTCGAAACGATAGATTAACGATAGATTAACAAAGAAAAACCCATACTGCCCTGTCACGTAATGCAATCTGTTCTCATTAGAGCTCCCTGGGTCCTGGAAGGGAAGGTCCCCTTGGACCTTCGTGGGGACACGGCAGCATGGAAATGGACCCTCCGGTAGATTTCCATGGGTCTATTTTTACTCCGAACGCTAAATAAATTGCCGTAAAGAGATCCGATACGAAGCAAACCCCCTATATGCTAAAAGCTGGGTTCGGAATTGTTGACAACAATTTCAACGTTAAAACATCTTTGGCTAGCCGGCTAAACAAATGGTATGCTCGGAATCGGTAAAATGCATCGTCTCGGCGTGTTTAACCGAAAGAGTACCATCGATGTCGATACATATTTGTGGAGTCGACGCGATGGGGTTCAAACATTGTGCAACATCTGCGAATCGTTGACCGAGTGTCCTCATTCAATATATTAACGCGCCTGTCGGTGATCCTTGCCCCGATAGATCGATGGAATCCGAAATTCTTGTTGGATGCGATAGGAAGTTTCCAAATAAAACCGAGGTCTTTCCACTCGAACCGTGTAGAAAGGATCGCCGAGTGATGTAATTGATGACCGTCGCTGAACGGCAATGAACGCGATTAGCATGGTTTTAGCGAATTTTCGATCAAGGAGATTATTGAATCTTGCTGTTCTAACATTGTCGATTCGATTTTGCAGATGCTGGCGATAGCGGTACTGCTCGCGGCAACGATCTGGAGCCACGAAGCCGAGGGCAGCGTTCTAGTGGCAGACATGGCTATGTCTAGGATGGTTGAACTGAAAACGGATGCGCCGTTCTGCGCCCTGTACACCGACCGCGGCGTCATACAGAGGATGGTGCTCGGCGCCGACCCTAAGAAAGTTCGGCAAATGTCCAGCAACCTGGTCGCCGACCTCGAAGAAACTTGCAAAGCCTCCCGGGACAAGGGAAAGGTAGAGCGTGGCCTTGCTCGCACAGTCAGATCTTCGACTCGGACGCGGACACCTTCGTAAAACCGATTAACATTTCAGAGACACGAATCCCGCTTGCCTCTCCACTGTCTCTCCGCGATCTCGTAATATCATAATATTTGTCCCACCCGTTGTTCAACGCTTATTCGCGTACATTCTCTTAACACCGCAGGCTGCTGCTCTTGAACTCTAAACGAAAACGGTCGGTCTCCCTGAATGTTCATCGGCGATCTGTAAAATCATTTTACGCGGTAACGTCGTAACGAGTTGATCTGACTGTGACGCAACCAACGTCCTTCCGATTCGAGTCGAATATAACAGCGTTACCCTGCACATCAGCCTCTGAAACCCATCGCGTCAAGCTCCTTTCGCGCAAATTGCTCGATCGGGACGTTCTCTCGCTTCATCGCGCCGCGTTCTCCGAATTCGACTGTTCGCTTCGATCGTTAACGAGATTATGTTTACGAGATTGTGTTTTATGATTATGTTTACGAGATTATTCCTTGAACGAGATTACCGATTTCTCTCTTTCTTTCTTTCTTTCTTGGCTTCGAGTGACCGATCTTTGATCGGAAGTAAGATTCAAAGAGAGAGATCAATTGACAAGGAAGAGTAAATAGGGTAAAACGATAGTGAAACATGAACAATATAACGATAATCGGTAAACGACTGAAACGAATAAATTGTCGACAGAACCAGCCCGCAGGCGGTGGACTAATCTATCCGGGAACAAAATGGTGCGGACCGGGTACTTTGGCCACGTCGTACGACGAGTTGGGAAAACACGCGTCGGAAGACGCCTGTTGCAGAGAACACGATCATTGCCCGGTCACGCTCGGCCCGCAAGAGTGCATCCACGGGATTTGTAACAATTCGCCGTTCACCAGATCCCATTGCGACTGCGACGCCAAGTTCCGCAGATGTCTACAAAACCTGAACTCGGAGGTAGCGAACACCCTCGGCGCTCTCTTCTTCAATGTAATACAGGTCACCTGCTTCAAAGAGAGACGCCCGTGCTCCCAATGGCAGAGGTAAGACTACTTTTCTCGTATCGCTGGCGTTCAACCATGGCGTATCGTTCGGCCAATTTTATCATCGATTAGTAGACACCGCGAACTTTTATGTGAAATAAAAATTGCCTGCATCGATCGCAAGAAATTCTTAACGATTCTTACGCGGGACATCCTTTAGTTGCCCGTTGGAGTGGGAGAACTCGGCAAAGTTCGAGGCACCGGTACCGCGAGACTTCCACACCAAAAAGATTCTATTCCTGAAGACGTTCCTGAGAGCATTGCGCGAGGGCCTTAAACAGAAACAGCAATATCATCTCGGCGGAGCTTCATGAAACTGTAGTAATCTTCTAAAGATCAAATTTCTGCAGGGTGTTGGCGTCGATTTTGGTGTTGGTTTATTTACGCCGCTGGTGGTGGTGGGATTTGGGGACCCTCGGTGCTTTCTGTGACGAGTTTCATTTGTTTCAGGAACGGATACGCCGAGTCCGAGTCGAACCGCTTGTGCTCCCAATACAATTTCCGTCCCAGCGACAAGTATGTGCCGCTGATGCCTCTGAACATCAACTAGCTATTGCGAAAACGCAAGAAGCCCGGACCGGACAGCCCTTGAAGTGCTGTTGTCAGTTAACAGAGTCTGAGTGAGCAGGACAATTGCGCGTGTCTCAACCGTCAAATCGTTTTATCCGCATGCTACCTGTATGTCATTTCCGAATCAACCGGAGAACAGCCGGCGAAGTTTTCTCCGTATGTTACGCTAATTCTGTACGCACAGCTCGAGCGAAAGGCTGTGAACCCGCTCTTGAAAGCGCCGATCTCGATTCAAGGATGAGCGCAGAAATTCGTTGGCGAAACAGTGTCCATCTGGAACCGAGAAACATTTGTATAACTACGAGAACGGCTCTGCGTTTGTTTCACGCGTTTTACTCGTCGGCCTTGCCGATTCCGGCGCATTAAACGCGTGCAACGCCCGCAATGCGTTCCTCGAGGCCAACCGTCGGCTAGTTTATTCGATCGCCCTTCCTAGGTAGCAGTTTTACAGGTAAACACGAAGTCAATAAACGAACAAACCCAATTTGCCAACAATTCGCAATCGTCTTGAAAGCGAAAAGAACCGACACGCAAGTTTTTTAGTTTCTTCCAAATTAGTTTCTCTAATTTGGAAGAAATCTAATTTAGTTTCTAAATTCCTACAAAGTAAATCGATTCGCCGAAAGAAATTATACTGAACCTGTATTGTCGATAACACGATTTTACAATTACTGCTCAATTTTACTCTTTAATTGTATGCAACTTTAACGCCAGAACTATCGGACGACCGCAAAATTCTTTATTCTGTATGCGCCAGCATCGGGTAACAGAGACAGGAGACTGAAAATCGATTCGTTTATTCGATGTTAATAAAATTAACAATATCGACAACAAATGACCGCGATACCTCTATCGTACATCTATAGTATCGCTCGATACTTCTAGCGTTAAAGGTAATTTAGAGGGGTAGGCCTTCTGATTGATCGTTGGTGTTGGAGATCGTGAGAACGAGCGAAGGAGTAAGGGAGCTCTGATATTAAATAAATGAAATTAACGATCGAAGAGGGAGGACCTCATCCCATCTATATTATTGCAACAAGGTTCGCGTTTCTTGCATATCACTCGTCGCCTTTGCACTACAACGAAACGTGCATGCGATTGCATAATCGACTAGTAGCATTTGCAACGATACCATTTAAATTAAGACTCTTTATTAGATTAATGCGACAGCGGTAGCAATAGAAATTCTACGATTGAAATCGCTCGCGCATCAATCTGATAAATCGATAAAGAACTAATGGATTCCTCTCAAGGTTTACGATTTTCTAATCTTTGATAATTCGAAGGTGTTTTGTCTAGAGTCTAGATCGTACCGATTCGAAAGCGTTTAACGAAAACTATTAGCAGCGTAGCTTACAGTTAGTTTTCTAGCACAGAATATCAAATATCGTACTAGATGCTCTAATACTGTTCAAAAATAATTGGATATGAGCGATTATCTCGAATGACTCTCAGTAGGAGAAAAAGAACGACATTTACTATTTACCAATTACAGTACGAAAGAGTAATCAATGATGGCGACTCTGCACAATCTCTACTGTGATTCGATTAAAGACGTAGACTTGCTACAATTTTACTCGTAGTGTAAGTAACTTTGTCCGTTATTTGCGACTTTCTAGTGCAAATAATCGATGCGTCCAGAAAAGATGTACGGATTCGTTGATACCTCCAGAAGGTCGGCCGGGAAAGCGTGCAATTGATTTTTACCGAGTCACACAATTGCTTTTCCAAAATACCTCAGTGACATGTTTTTTTTCCTAACGACCTTCAGTCTTTTTATTCCGACGATACGGTGCTGATCTCGATAATCGAGAGAACAAATTCTGCCCAGTTTCAATTAATAATCATTGGACTGCGAATCTTTGTACGAATCTTTATAAGAATCTTTATGCGAACTCTTATGCGTTTGTGTGGCACTTGTAATTTTATAGGATACAAGGCGGCAAAACCAGGTTTTCTGTACATTTTTGTTTTCTTTTTATCGGATAGAGATCCGCAATCTAATAATTCCTAATTCTATCTTGAAGGCAAAATGTAGCACTGAAAATATATTTTTGAATATTTATTGTACAGCAAATCGGATTGTCGAGATTATTAATCGTGTTGAACGAATACGAGACGACTACATATTTCTAAGTACACGAATTTTCAATTACTATATACACACAATACTAGAATATATATTAGTTTATTATAATATACTACTATTATAACATTACTTTCACACGTAATACTGTTTGTTGCTTGTACCATTTATTTATACATACTTTTTATTCTACTGCGATTTTCTTCCTGATCATAATTAAAACAATTACTAGAAACTGTAAAAGTTAATGAGAAATGTAAAATATATTTATACATATGTACATATATATTTTTACGTTTCTCGTTGTTACATCCAACGCAATATGTACACGCTTTGGTGATGCAGATATATTTTCTTTTAAATAGGAAGAAAATTGAAACGTTAGAAAAATGAATTATACTCTAATTATACTGTTTTCAAATAAGGATCAGATATTATGAGAATAAATGACTACCTCCCAGCAGATGAAAGATTATTTAAACGGTAGAGTAGTTTTGTTCCAGATGTGCCGTGGCATTTGAAACGTTTATAGTTCAAACGTTTGAAATTTCGCGGCATTCTCCATCTGCGACATCTGTCAACGCCCACGCGAAACTGTGCGCGCTCTATGTATGTATATGTACTCGGTGGTTGAGGCGCGGAGTGGGAGCGTGTCAGTTCTAGATGCTGTGATGGATGAAGTTTCGTCAAACGGTACGTCTTTTTCGACGAAAGTTCCGAGTTGCATTCCGATGAAAGTGAATGGATTCACAGTGTAGAGAGTGAAAACGTTTCCGACTTTGTGTCGCAACGAAACGATTCACCGAGAATTTCGCGTGGTTCGCTGGACGCTTCGCGGATCGCGTGGGCGTCCTGCCTTCCGAGTTCCGAGTCTCCTGGCCCACGCTCTTCGCAACACTTTATTTACGCGTTCTCCTCGATCGCTACGTTCCCCGATAACACGATCGTTAACGCGCCACCGTATCGGAGACCCATAATGATCCAGGTGACACGTTTCATTAATTGACAATTACGAAAAACCCCCTCGAGAGAATCTTATAGTTTGTCGTTAGCTGGTTGATATACTGGTTGACGCACTGGTTGATATACCAGTTGATATACTGGTTGTATGGAACCAGCTTTCCCCTGATGCTTACCTAAACGTTTAATCGTGAATCACGTTTCCTGCGTACCGCACGTCCCCGACGCGTTCATTTTTCCGCAGCATCAGAACGGATTTGTTTTCACAACTGTTACCAGCTCGATGAATTCGAAATTCGACGCCGGATTCGCCGTTCACAACATCCTAGGACTCTTGCAAAAAAGCACACGCGTCTACGTGTATGTAAATATACAAGACAGGATCAAGGAAAAACTATGTAAACATTTCTGCTAGCCAACTGAACGTGACATTTCAGAGAAACAGAATCGAATGAAGTTTCTTTGTCGTCCTGTGTATTACAAGAATTCGTTGTTGAGATCAGAATTATAATTTTTTTGTTTGATCTATGTTAGACCAAGCAAGAGGGGAAAGCGGAGGGACAATAACTTGCGCTGGTTGTCTCAATGCCATTGACGAAGACGAGTTTATCCAGGCTCTGAACCAGATATGGCACATCGACTGTTTTCGGTATGTAATCGTTACAGAATGGTCCTTGTCTTCTAAATATTATGCATTAAAATCCTGCTAAAATAGACTTACCAATTTTTAGAATTAAAGATATCAAAAAAGAAGCGGAATTCCCTCTTGTTTAAGTCACTTTTACGAAATGACCACTGCCTGCCATAGGTAACTCGAGGTTTCCCTTATTTCAAGATTCAGCAAATTTATGGATTCCCAGGAACTTCGATAATTTAGGTATTTATGAATTGAATGATATATCAAGAAAATTTTTTATCTTTGCAGGTGTTCTGCTTGCGACGTTGGTCTCTCATCGTGGTACTTTGAAAAGGATGGTTTGCTTTTTTGCAAGGATGATTACTGGGCTGCCTATGGGGAGGCCTGCCAAGGTTGCGGCCAAATCATCACAGGTCCTGTTATGCTGGCAGGAGATCACAAATTTCATCCAGAATGTTTTGCCTGCAACTCTTGTGGAGCGTTTATCGGGGATGGAGAGAGTTACGCGTTGGTTGAAAGGTCCAAACTCTATTGCGGATGTTGTTACAAGAGGCAAATGCAACCAATCAATAGGACAGCCAACTGTCCATTTGCTAGAAAACCGCACAGCATCAGGCTAGTGGAAATACCTCCTACCACTTCCGATTCAGAGAAGCAGAGAGGAATCAAACTGACATTAGACACAACTCCTAGTCCTAGAAATTGTGGAGCTTTGCTTCGTATATCAGAGTATGTATATAAACTGTGTACGATTTACTTATACATTCTTTTATTATATTTTTTCTGTCTACATTCAGTATTGTTTATCGAAAAATGTTGAAACCCATTTGCCTTTTTGCCTCTTTTGCTTTAATCGTTTCAAGTATAAATTCTAGCTATTGAAGAATGCATGCGTTTCGTTTAAAACGACTTTATATCGAACGCGCGAGAATTGTCTACTTTGATGAGAAATCAATTAAAAATATCAAGAGATTTGTATACAACAAGAGTAGGAAATTTTCATTTCTAAAACAAACAATGTTCTTGTACAACGTTAAATTATACATTAATAAAGCTTCTCTAAAATATTTAACCTTGCATGAATAATTCTGTGGTATTTAAGAATCGCTATAGATCACAGCCTTTAATAACTTTGAACTAAAACACAGGTTAATGAGAAATGTTCGTGGAAAGATCAGTAAGCTGCTGGCCTCTGTGATGGAGGTTCTATTTAGGCTATGCTGCCACTTCTCTAATCATAGGTACAGCATAATAAATAAATAATATGCACTAGATACTGTGTCGTTTATTAATTAGGTGTGTGTACTTGGTAGTTGCCACTTAACTGCACGCAAAATACGTATCTTGTGCAATATAGGTATCTTGTCTAAAATATCAACTGTTCGTATATTAATATGTATTACATTGTTTTGTAAGCATGTACCATATCAAGGAGGAAATTATAGTTTGTTTATATATATATATATATTTCACGTTACATTTTTTTTACGCGTTTGTACTGCACCATTTCGAAGTTATTAGAGTTTGTACATTGTACACATTACACCTTTCTGCGTATCAGCTTGCAAAAGAATGTAAAGTAGCCATTCGATACCCAACGATAATTTGATTAATAAATATCTCTCCTGTTTCTCATTATAATATGATCGCACATGGTCGAATATCTGTTAAATGCACGCAAAATATTGCATGTATTGTTACAACAACTATTTATAAACATTGGGAATGTCACGCGAAACGTGTTACAGACTGAATGTATCCAGTGATCTCATTTCCTTACACATTGGAGATCGAATACTCGAAGTAAATGGTACACCAGTCAAGGATCAGCCCATAGAAAGCATAGAAAATCTGATACAACATTCGGACACCGTTCTACAGGTGAATATCAGCGTTGCAAATCATTTTCTTTTTCTTGCATTGAACATAGTAACTAATGCAATGTGACTGCATTCATTTTTTTCAGTTGACCATCGAGCATGACCCGGATGCAGTTTCGCGAAGACCCGCCTATTCTTCGCCGTCCGCGGTTATGTTGACATCTATAGGAAGTCCAAAAACCAGTACGGAGAGCAAAGAACGGTTGTTCAAACGACGGGACGAAGGTTACATTAGCGGAACACGAAGCAGACAATTAAGAAGGACGCGAGATCCTATGCACAAGGAGCGCAGCAGCTCCATGTCGAGATTACTCGATGGGTATGGAATTTATTACCGGATAAAAAGTATCGCGGAAATTCCTTCTGTAATAGGTATAGTACTAAGCGTATAATGTTATTGTAGATCTACAACGAATCCCACATGCGACTTGAGCAGAACAAGGTCCTTTCGAGTGGAGCCAAAGAATCAAAGAATATTTCGTGCCAGCGACCTGGTGAAGGGAGAACTTTTGGGCACAGGATTCTTCGGCCAAGTATTCAAGGTGACGCACAGAGACACCAACGAGGTCATGGTATTGAAAGAATTGTACAGAGTGGACGAGGAAGCTCAGAAGAATTTCTTGAAAGAGGTCAGTCTTCTGCAAATGATATTAATGTAAAACCTCCCGATATAGTTTGCTATGTATGTAGGTTGATTGGATATTTTATTTTATTATTAGGTAGCCGTACTGCGGTCATTGCATCACAACAACGTTCTCCGATTCATTGGGGTGCTTTACAAAGACAAGAAACTCCATCTGGTCACAGAGTACATAGCGGGCGGAACTCTGAGAGCTCTGCTCCACGACACGAACGAAGTTCTGCCGTGGGAACAGCGGACGTCCTTCGCGAAAGACATCGCCGCCGGCATGGCGTATCTACATTCCATGAACATCATTCATCGAGACTTGAATTCGCATAACTGTTTGGTACGCGAAGACAAAACTGTGGTCGTCGCCGATTTTGGTCTGGCCAGAATAATACAGAACGGTAATTCGCCGGATAATCGCAAATACAGTAGACATTCCGACGGAGAAGCGAGAACGTCCAAGAAAGAACGGAAGAAAAGGTACACAGTGGTGGGAAATCCGTATTGGATGGCCCCCGAGATGATGAAGGGCAACAAGTACGACGAGAAGGTCGACATATTCAGTTTCGGCATCGTTGTGTGCGAGATCATAGGGCGAGTCCAAGCTGACCCCGATTATCTGCCAAGATCCTCGGATTTCGGTCTAAACCAAAATGTTTTTAAAGAGAAATTTTGCCTGAATTGCCCCGAGATGTTCTACAGGATAGCATTCCTCTGCTGCGACTTGAATCCCGATAAGAGGCCACCGTTCGAGCTGATGCAGGTCTGGCTAGAGGGATTGGCGATGCATTTAGCGGTGGGTGCTGAATTACCGGTGGATCTGGAGTTCGATATCAGGAACTATACCGGGACCAGTACAAGCACCAGCGAGTCAACCACTCCGGATACCCTTGCACCGCAACTAAAACCCATAAAAGAGGGCCAGATCCATCAAGAGAAGAAACGGTGCAGCGGATGCGACGATAGTACTCTTGAACGCGAGGAATCTGTCCAGAGTGGTAACACGCTTCAAGTGCCTGACGCGATCACCTCGAAGGGAAGGTACACAAGACAGAACAGCAAAACGAACGAATCACCAGGAAACACGAGTCGGTACGCGCGTCAAAATTCCAGGTCGAAAGACAGCAGCGAGAAGCTCGATACGATCGTGTCTCCAGAGACCGGTGGTTTCGCCGGATGCTTTGCCAGGCAGAAATCTGTTGAATCGTCGTCGCGTTTCCCCAACAATAACAAAGACGACAAAACCTGTTGCACAAAGCAAACCGAACAATCCGACTGTAATCTGAAACGAATACCCACCATCGAGAATGTCCGGTACGTAGGCAGAGCTAGTCCGTGCATTTTATCGGACACTCCGAACGAATACACTGTCGACAGCAAATGCTCGTACAAGGTCAATAATAACATCAACTCGAAACCGGAAATAGTGAAGACCAAGCTGGAGAATAAATTCAAGATGCCGGATGCAAGTTCCGTAAGCGCCTACCTGAGGCAAATCGGCAAATCCGCGAGCACCACGGAGACGGAGTACAAGCAGGACAGCCAAAGTGGCAACACGGACTCGAAGAAAGCCGGTGATAGAAGTAACGAGACCCCGAAGTCGGTAGGTTCGTACTTGAGAAGAACAAAGATCTCGCCTACAAAGGAAACACCAAAGAATGCATTTTCGCCGCAGATTAATAATCAATTTGAAGCTGGTACTTCGCTGCAATCAAAACTAACCGTAAGCTCGGTGAAAATGAACGATAATGAGCCGATGAACGAAAGGATAGTCAGACAGGACAGCAACGCCTCCAACATCGGTAGCATTCTGTCCAGACAAGGGAGCCTCACAGTACTAGACTGCTCGGCTAACAAGGACAAGGTTTGCAAAGAGTGTTCTCCTTTGAATACTTTGCAGAAGGAAGATACCCAGAAGAACAAGAATTTGTATTACACCGACAGCCTCTACTCGAACACGAGCATCTCGAAGAACGACGATCTTCTCATATACAACGTGCAAACAGAGATTAACGCCGAGACTAAGAGAAACCACCGTGTCCAGGCCATCCAAGACCCCTCCGAGTTAGATTCCGATCCGAAGAAATCTGTATACGACGGCAACAAGCTGCCCAGCTCGTTGGCAGAGTATAGTGGTTGTTACAAGAATGTGGATCTGTGCAGGCAAGACAGCTTCGGCTCCGACAGTGCGGTAGGCACCATGAGGAGTGATTTTTTCGCGGATTTGGACTTTGTTCAGTTAAGGGATGGCAGACACACGCCGGATTTGTGCCATACTCCCGACAGGTGTTGCACGCCTAACCGGGCGACGTCGCCGATTGAAAGCACAGCCTTGTGAGACCCCGAGATAGGCCATAAGGATGAACATAAAGAGAGGAAACAAACGAATCTCACTCCACTAATTTGATCTCTGCGATCTAGCGGCTTAACCCTGATTAAAGCTGGTAGGATAACTCGTTAAGATTTTGAACATTTCGTAACCATTTTGAAGCCATACGAACCATTCAACAGCCACACAAAGTATTATCAACGTGTTTCTAGGTGTTCAGTGTGGCTGCCGCAGTGTCCAACTGAAACCTATCTCCATTGGTTTCTACGGTCATCTTATGGTCTTCAAAGTATTTTGGATACTTCGCGTCTTTTGTCAGAAGGTGCATTCCCGCGTAAATCTTGCCTAGCGGTTTTTTCTATAAGCGCGAGTTCAATGTAATTTATAAGACTAACGAAAGCATTCCATCCAGAATTCTATCTGATGCGATCGAGATCGGTAGAAGAAACGCGTGCTTGGGAAAGTAGTCCTAAAATCGCTACACCGATCGATGTCAATTCTCATCGGCGTACCCTCCACCGTTTCTCCTATAATCTTTTTTCGAAGTATGGGATTTCTTATTACACTTCGAAGCTGTAAACATTCTGTAGAGTCAGTTTGTAGAATAGAAAATGTAAAAAATTATATCTTTTATCGGATACGAGGATGTACATCGTACTGTAAAATATTATCTGCGTATAGAACGATGCCATGTGTGGTGTGCATGTACAGAAGATTGAGACACGTATGAAAAGTCGAGACACGTCAATTATATCTTTGTTATACGTCTCGAAGAACAAGCCAGATCAGTTTGATATTTGATTCTTTCGTTTTGACGTTTCCAAGTTGCTCGTTGAACTCTTTCCAGCATCTGTTATCTCTCTCTCTCTCTCTCTCTCTCTCTCTCTCTCTCACACACACACACACACACACACACACACACACACACACACATACATACTTCGTCCTCTTCTTTTATTATTTATTTTCATCGGTAGTTGGATACTAGCAGTTCTTACTCGTAGCAAAGATATAAGTGATGTTGAACTAAATAGTTTGGTGTGTATAATACGAAGAATGTACATATAGTTTTGTATATATATATATACTCCAAGATTCGTCACGTTCAAAACACTGTTTACAAAACATATATTTAATAGTAACAAAAAAAAGAAGCTTTATATTGATAATGTAGAGACGGAAAGTTCTTTTGATACTATTAAACGAAAACATACTTCTATTCTAATCGAAATAAGCGTAAGCGAAATGTTCCCTAATTTTATCAAGGAGGAATGCAATTGCAAAGACAGCACTTAAGCAATAGTTTTACGGTGGAACTTATGATTCTTCTGCAGAGAAATAAATATATGT